TATGCTGATGAGACTTTCCGGGACACTGTAGTACTGTCCCACCTCCAGTCTGAGAGTGTGTGACGTAGTGGGGGTACTTGCTGGGCTGTGGTGACCTCTGCTGTCCGGAGCAAGACCCAGCAGGGAAAACCTCATTATGCAAAGGTGACTCAAAAACCTGTCTGACCTGCGGCCCCCCATGGGGAGAAACAAAGGGAGGTGGAATGCTGCCCTGGCTGGGGGCAGGGCTGGAAGAGGGGGAGTTAGTTCCTGGCTGGAAGGCAGGGAAGAAGGAGCTGGGGAAGGGGGCTGGGACTCCCCTATCTCAAGGGGGCACTGAGGCCTCTTAGCCCCAGTTCCTGTAACCAGATTACATCTGTGCTGCGCTGTGCTGGAGGAACAATAAACAACCTCCATTCTACTGGCTGGTGAAGTCTGTTCATGCCATTTCGGGGTGCAAGAGATGGGAAAACCCCGACGCGTCGTCACATGTGCACTGAGGCGTGTGTGGATGGGCACCACCCGCAGCAGTACATGATGTCAGTGGTGGGTGGCTGTAGGTGCTCTGCTAATCAGCTGGGCGGCATTTGCTCCCGGGGGGCTGCCCAAGCGCTCAGCTTACAGGGAACCCATGCGGCATCATGCCCAACTCTGAGAGCCAAGGACTATTGCCTACCGAAACTCCTTGTTTAGGCCTCCCCTCTACCCTGGACGGACCGTGCTACAGTCAAACGCCAGGCCGGGACATGGGCAGCAGCCATACACCCCACTGTGCCTCTCTCCTCTTAGAGGGGAGAGATTCCACACCCCTTCCAAGCCTCAGCTTCCTGTCTGAATTCTCCGGGGCGGGGACAGATCCTGCCACGCAGACCCCCCATCCCCTGGGCACGCCACCGAGGTCACTTGCTTATTTCATGGAGGCCATCGAGGTGCCAGCAGCTGGGACAGGCCTTGGGTGGGTTTGAACTTGGGACGTGAACATTCAAACGCCCTTGAGACAGCTAGACCCCCGCTGCTGGTTTAGCTCTCCCACAGCGCCTGTGTCAAGAGCTTCTTCTGCGACTGTCATCAGAGTGCAAGGCCCATCTGCCTCCTGCGACCATC